TTTATAATTAATTGTTTTCAAATTATTATTGATTTTGATTTTGAATATATTAAAAGTAATCATTTTTAACCTACTTTTTATTGTCATTTAAAGTGAAGTTTTAATAAAAAAAAAGTTTTATGATTTATAAATGTAATATATATATATTACATATATTACATATATCGAATTTATATATATATATATATATATATAAATTTTTTTTTTTACAACCGTTAGATTAGTTAATACTGTCGTACGTCGGTAGTGCCCCAACGTAGACACAAAGGTTTATTAAAGTTTTATGTATATATATATATATAGACGACGAGTTCGTCGTCCGAGCTCTTCTCGAGTCCTCCCGTTGGATAAACTGATCAGCCCCAATCTCTCTAATTAGTGGACTACTAAAGGGGTAGAGTTTAGACCCGTCAGCACAGTCTAGCTCAAAAGTAGCAGACTGAAGGGTGGCTCCTTGTCAGCCACCAGCACAACTACCTTTTTACTATACCCACTAAAGGACGGTTAAGCCCAAACACTAGCCAGCTCGTACACTAANTTTTTTTATTTACGAAATGTATTAAACACAAAAGTCAAATAAAATATAATATAATAATTTAACACAAAATTAATTAAATCTTATAAAAAAAGGTATAAAATTATTCTTACGTTAACGACCTAACCCGTAACTCGACGTTTCTTCTACAAAAACGTCCAGTCTCGTCTCGCTCCGTATCGTTCCGTGTCGACCCCCTATACTCTTCATGTTTCCCTTTTATATTCTTTTTCCCACCATTATTAATTTGCTTACCCTGCATTTCCCTTTTATATGGAATTATTTTATTGCTTAAGAGTTCAAAAATTGCTTACTACTATTGTATGGCTTATATTATACTAAAATCGACGTAATTCAATACTTCCTCATATAATTACTACAATACCAACTGGGTTAGATATATCCCGGGGAAATTTAAGTGCAGTAGTTTCCCGTTGCCTTCTGCACTGGGAACACGGTGCTTATTTGCAACCGTAGAAGTGCACGCATGGTCACCCCTCCGTTCATGTACGGTGGTAGGCGTTGCCTTACCACTAGAGTTTTGTCAACAACTAGTGTAACCACCGCGCCACCAATAATATTTATTTATATAAATAATAAATAATATATAAATATAAATATTACTTATCTTAAATAAAATATAATGATCCATATGTTTTTCAAAAAGTTAAAGCTTTATAAAGTTAAAATATAAAAACGAATTTATTTACTAAAATCGTATTTTTTTTTTTATTAACTTTGATGTCCTTTTTCACCATGAAACCAAAATAAAGTCCGAAATTTTTTGTAGCTTCGATGCAAAGCTTAGAAGTTATTTAATTTTACTATGATGTGTTTTTTTTTTATTTTTTTGTGTCTGTGAACGCTTAATCTCAGCTCTTGCTGGACCGATTTTGATGAACAATACGTCAAAAGATCACAAATTGTATCTAATCGAAGACATTACCCTCAAAAATTGAAAAAAATTTTCTCATTCTCCGTATATAAAGATATAGAAATCAGGTAAAGCAAAGTAAAAGTTATCCAGGGGCAGACATAGATTTAGATCATAATCTTGTAATTATAGAAACATGAAATACCTTAAAAAGCCTACAAGAAATCAAAAGACATTGAAAAAATGGCACATAGAAAAACTTAAGTAGAAAGCAACAAGAAGACAATTTTACAAGGAAGTAAATGGAATAATACGAGTAAAACAAACAGAAAAACCAGGAAATTATGAGGATATATAGAAAATATATAGAAGAATGGCTAGAAAAAATGTGCTCGTCTGTAAAAATTTATTTAGCAAGAAGCTTAAGTGATAAAGCATATAGAATTATAAAACAACTTTTGGGGCATACAAATGCGGAGCAAAAGTTCTAAGAGGAAAAGATGAAAAAATTGTTCTAGAAGATAGTGAAAAAATTTTAGTTTGAAAGGAATACATATAAAAGTTATACAAAATAGAAAAAACGGACAAAAAGTACAAAATACTAGAAATAGAAAATAAAAATCTTGACTCTATAGAATCTACCATCATAATGGAAGAAATAGAATTGTCAATTAAGGAACTAAAACGTAATAAAGCCCCTAAAATCGATAATCTAAATGGCGAACTTCGTATACCTTTAGAAGAAACTTGAAAGGAAGCCCTGTGTAATGTAACAATAAAGGCCTATGAAACAGGATAAGTGCCTGAAGACTTCGAAAAATGCGTAATGATACCTTTACCAAATTCAGGAAGCGCTAAAAGATCTAAGAGAGATGAAGATATTTGAGGGATCAAGGTTGGTGGGATGCTAGTTCAGATGCTGCGATTCGCAAATGATATTTCAATGATAGCACGCAGCGAAAAAAAACTAAAAAGAATGTTTCAAAAAATGAATAACACACTTAAACAAGAATACAGTATGAATATTGATAAGACAAAGACAAACATACTAGTATGCAGTAGACAACAAGTAGACACCAACATAATCATGGACGATATTAAGTTGACAAATATAAATAGTTATATATACCTCGGAAGCAGAGTCACAAGTGATGGGAAAAGTTACTCAGACATAAGGTGTAGAATAGCACAGGCTAAACAAATGTTTTTCAAAAAGAACAAACTTCTAACCACAAATCCAATTTTGACAATAATTAAGGCAGACCAAAGAAAAATAGAGGCTTTTGAAACATGATGCTGGCGAAGGGTCTTAAAAATTTCTTGGACAGAATAAGTGACTAATGAAGGAGTGTATCAGAAATAAATGAAAAAAGATTAATATTGATGACAATCGTGGAGAGAAGAAAGAAGTGGATAAGACATTTCATAGGAAACAATACACGGATAACGACTATAATTGATGGAAGCCAGGTAGAGGAAGATCTAGGCAGTCACATATAAAACAAATCATGTTGGATATAGGAACTGAGACATACAGAGAATTGAAGAGAGTCGCATTAAATAGAAAAGAAGAAAGGAGTATTTTATCATTCAACTAATTTACGGATTGAAAAAAAAATCATAAGACACGGTTTATTGCAAATCTATAGATAGTGTATAATTCTAAGAAATTGATAGATAATTACAAAAGCAACAATAAATCCTCTTTCCTTAATTGTATCCTGATTTCTAGTTATATGATTCATCGATATAATATATAAATAAATGCTAATTATAGCAATCAAATTTAGTATGAATTTAATATTCAATAATTTAATATTAAGGAAGGAAAAACTTTCAATTTTTGAGGAAAATTATTTCAACTAGATACAGTTTATGATATTTGACGTTTAATTTAAAGTAATCGATAAAGAGAGAGCTGAGAAAAAATAGTGACAGCAAAACTAATATTTATAATTTTTATATTTTAAAATGAGGTAGTTTTTATACAAATTATATTAGCTAATTAACGAATTAAAAGTCTTTTCGAACTGCACATTATCAAGATCAAAGAGTAAAGCAAAAGAAACTATAGGTGATTATCAGGGAGGATTCAGACCAAGTAGGTCGACAGTAGATCAGTTATTTATCCTTAGACAGCTGTTCCAAAAAACATGGGAGTTTGACAAAGAGATACATGTTCTTTTTATCTGCTTCAAGCGTATGATAGTATACACTATAGAGCTAGCATAATAAGTTGCCTGAAAGAATTTAATTTACCACAAAAATTAATAAGACTAATTGAGATAACCATCATAGAAACATTCGTTAAAATCAAGGTAGTAAGTGCAGAAACAGAGCCAATACTAATAAAATCTGAATAAACCCTGAAAACAAGGAGACTTAATATCACCGATTTTATTTAACTTAATTTTAGAGATATTAGTAAGGGAAATGTATATTCAAGCACAAGAAGGTGTTAAGTTACAAGAATCGTCTATAGAAGTTTTGGAATACGCGAATGATGTGGTAGTAATGAGCAAATCACACAATAATTTTTAGTTTTGTATTCACTCGTTTGGAGGAAAAGGCAAAGAAACTGGGATTACAAGTAAACGAGGAAAAAACAGAATACATGGTTATAGGTAGATGAGATAGTGTGGTCGCTTTTCCTCACTTGAAAATTGATAGATATGAGTTTAGTAGAGCCAAAAAACCATTCTGACCAAGCCTTATAAAAATTAATTCATAATAATTCAAAACCTTAATTAAAAATTAAGGTTATATTATAACCTTAATATGCCCTGTTGTAAACTATAGGACTGAGCCCTGTCCACTAAAAAAGACTAAAGAAAGGAAATTACTGGTTTTTTAAAGGAGAGTCTTAAGGAAGATTTTTAGGTCTGTTCAAGACAGAGAAACGAAAGAATGTAGAACAAGGAAAAATGAGGAACTAGAAAGGGTGTTCCAAAAAGAAAACATATTAAGCGTAATTAGAAACCGAAGACTTCAATGGGCTGGGCATGCTATGCGAAGCCAGAACAATCTTATAAGGATGATCATGGACGAGAATCCAGTTGATAAGAGACCACTGGGAAGACTACGATTAAGGTGGGAAAATGTGATAAGAAATGACGTGGAAACGCTGAACGGAGGATAGGATTGAAAAACAAGAGCGGCGGATAGGGAAGGCTGCAGGATTGGACGTGTGATGGGATGGTCTTGATGGATGGAAAACCCAAGAAGAAGAGGAAGAATTAATTGAATAAATTATGATGTCAAAGTCAAGCAGGCAAGTAAGGTTAAAAAAAAGTTATAATAAGAAGTTGAACTTTTTTTATTATAAGCTTTCGTAAAAATTAACTTTAAAGAACCGAAAAAATAGGTTTAAAATGACATTTTGCACAAAGTTTTTTAACATATTGAAAATTAAAAGCAATTATAATTTGAAAAACGATTTTTTTTTAAGTGCATAATTAGATCTTTATATAATAAAGAAGATATCTTATTATGTCTGTTGCTTAGGTTGGATGCTTAGTTAAGACTTTTAGTAGGTAAAAAGGACAAATATAAAATTACTTCAGGTTAATACATAATTAAAAGAAGAAATATTATTTTTTACTTTATTATTATTACATATTTATTTTATGTTTCGATTACATAAGTTTTACATGATGAAAGAATCACACAGTATCTTTCTATGTAATTAGGAAAAACAAAAAATACTTTTTAATTTCTCGAAACAGTTGGGTAAGAATCTTTTAAAATCTCTTTATAATCTTTTGACAAAAATGAACTGTATTCTCTGGTAATTAACTCAAAAATGATTTTCCATTTTTTCTTTATATCATCTAGTTGATTTGGTATAATTTCAAATTCGTATGAGGTGACGTTGTGTTCGTGAGGTTTGGGAAACCCATGAATTGCTTTTGTAAATACATCATGTGGTAATCGGACTATATTTTCAAAAATTATTGTGAATAATTCTAAGTATTTATCCATCAAGAATTTGATAATTTCCTTACATATTTGTGGTTCATTAGGTCTAATTATAGCAAAATCAATACGTAGGTCATATAGTATGTTATTGAAGTGTTTCGATTTAATTTGTGCGTTACTCAATTGTGTACAAACTTCTTTAAACGATACCCAATTTATTTCTGCATCATTATCAATTTCAAGTATCATATTGGTATATACGATTAGTAAAAACGCATACTTAAAAGTTCGATCATCCATGATTTTTTCTGCTTCATCAATAGTAGATACAACATTTTTTTTATACGTAGTTGAGTTATTGATGAAATCTTCAAGTGTTATATTGGATAGAATAAAAGTAGAAGCAGAAACAATGAGAACTTTCTCCTCTTTGATATATTCCCATAAAGACAATTTTTCTATCATATCTAGTTGTATTTTTAAATGATTATCATAAACCGTAGAATGAGCTAAAGTTCTATTATTAGGAAGATTACTCTCCTGCAAAAATTAAATTAATAATTTATATAAAATTGAAGTTAAAATATCTTCCTTCATTAAAAACCTATTCTATGCATTAACGTATTATCATAAAATATTTAACGGTAGAAAACATTTAGATTAGGTAAAAATTTTAATAATTTGATTATACGAGTTATTTTATAATGAGAATGTCATCAGTTCTATTTACCCTGTAAATGTCCTATTCAAAGAAATTTAGTGCAGATTATAGAAACTAGTATGGTTGTATTAGTATTAATGTAGTAATGGAATTATCTATCCAAGACAGTCGGGATCCCTTACATTGAACTAGAATATAAAATTAAATCAAATAATGCTTCAATGCGATTGTGAATAAAAGATTTAAAAGAAAATAGAAAAAATTTAACGAAAATTTTGCAAATTTTGGCTTAGAGCTACCTATTACTTAAAGAAGATAAGTCGTCAGGATACTTTTCTTTGTTTTTATCTTAAAAATTGCTTAATTAGATTTTCAACAAACTTTAGTCAGTTAATGACTAAATAATAAAAAAATATCGTGATCCAAAAAGATCACAAAATTACTATTTAACCTTACCTACATTTGTATGTATTACGTGAGTAGTGCTGTATTTACTTAAAAACAAACTTTATTCACAAAAGATTTAAATATTTTAGACTTAATGGTAGACTCACATAGATTTTAATGACTTTGAATTGAATTTTATCGTTTAAACTTCGAATATATTCCTGCAATTGTTGAATTCCATTTTCTGTAAATAAAATGATTTCATAATTTGATATTTTTTCAAAAATATTACAATGAATTTTTATATTGTCATGATCATGATTTGTTTCAACAGGTAACATTAAACAGGATATTTTAATATGATCTATACTTACCATCGTATAAATATTGTTTATGTGTTTCTTTGTGACTTAAAGTAATGTATTTTTTTGCGAATGTCTTAAAAAAACAAATAACACTGATTAAAAAAAAAAAATTATATTATTTTGAATAGTAGTTTTAGTTTTAGTTTTAGTTATTATTGAGGTGGACATAATGCCCATGCACTCAGACCTGTTGGTCCATTGTGCGCACCTCATAACGAAGTGTCTTGATTCGGTTTACCCACCTAAGTGTTATCACCAAATTGTTAATACATTACCAACCATAAAGTCACCTCTAAAGATGACCAAAGAGTCCTGTCCTTCTGGCGAAATTAAGTATCTCTCTGGGTTTTAGGTTTTTAATATCCTCTTTTTCAGGAAATGGTTTATTCAAGTAGTTTGATCTTAGTGTGGACAAGGCTTCACATTCGCACATGATGTGAAATGAGTCTTCCTCTTCTACTCCACACTTCCTGCACAATGGTGATTCCGATACCCCCATTGCGTTAAGATGCTTAAGCAGGTGACCATGTCCTGTCAGTAGACCAGTCAGGGTGCTTATTTGATGTCTAGTCATGCTATTAAGATCACCCAGCAATAAACCAGGGGTCTTCATAAACATTTTAGATTGTCTAGGTACTACCAAGTACTTCCAGATTTTCCTGTGTTGTTCTCTGCACCAATTCTTGGGTAACGCTTTGAGCGATTGCTCAGTGAGCCCTACCACTGGTTCTGGTCCAACATAGGTGTTCTCTGCTCCTTTCCTGGCTAGAAAGTCAGCATTCTCATTTCCAGTGACACCGATGTGTCCCAGTACCCACGCTAGTGTAACTTTGTTGAACCTCGATAGTGATCTGAAGTTTCCCTGCATTCGAGGACCAGCTTTGAATTGACCTGATCGTTACAGAGTGCTTTCAAAGCCGCTTGACTATCACTTAAGATAGTTATCTTCCTATTTTTGTATACCAGCAGGTTCTGAGCCCCTACCAGTATCGCCATCACCTCTGCTTGGAAAACAGAGGGTGTTGTGCCCAATGACATACTGACATTTATTCGTGGCTTTAAGCCCCAAATTCCAGCACCTACCTTTCCTGATTTTTTGGATCCATCTGTATATATCACAAATCCTCCTTTGTCAGTCAGGTGGTTAATATTCCATTCTATACGTGTAGTGATCTCCACTTTGTAGGGAATGTTATTCTTAAGAACCGGTTTGATATAGTCCAAGGGGTATTCTAAAAAGCCCTTGTCTATCTCTTTTAGTATTTTACCATGTTCTGTTGTATCACTCTCCAAAGTCAACATACCTAAGTTGTGGAATCTTAGTGCTGTAGCTTTGACGTGAGCTTTCACCTCTAGATGCAGAGGAGGCAATCCAATTAGTGCCTCTAATGCGACCGTTGGTGTAGTTCTTAATGCTCCAGTGATGGCAATAGCAGCCATTCTCTGTATGCGACTAAGTTCTTTCCTAGCTGTAATGAGTGCTGTTCTGGTCTACCAGACTAGGGCACCGTACAATATCATAGGTTTAATCACTGACGTGTACAACCAATACATAACTCTTGGTTTAAGACCCCATGTCTTTCCCAAGGCTCTGCTGCAAGTCCACAATGTGGTCATTGCTTTTTTGATTCTTGACTCAACATGTGATTTCCATTTTAGCTTACTATCCAAGATAATACCTAAGTATTTTACTTCTGATTTTAAGCTAATTTCTTGTCCATTCAGAGTAAGAGTGTCCAGGCTGTCTAGTCCTATTCTCTTTCTAGTGAACATAACAACCTCTGCTTTATTTGGATTAACAGATAGACCGTACTTACCAGATCATATATGTATAGTGTTAAGTCTCTGTTGTGCTAAGTCAATAATAGTGTCTGGGAATTTACCCACCACTGCTATAACCAAGTCATCCGCATAGGCTTGTGTATAACAATATTTGTTTAACTCTCTAATAAGCGAGTCCAATACTAGACACCATAGCAAGGGGGATAGAACCCCGCCTTGTGGGCATCCCTGTTTGACACTCTTGATTACTTTGGTCTCATTGAGCTGTCCCAAAATGGAGCGTTCCTTAAGCATGGATTCTATCCACTTAATAATAAGTGGTTCTATTCCATGCTGTTGTGCAGATTCACACATAGCATCGAAGGGAGTATTGTCAAAAGCCCCTTCGATGTCCAGGAATATACCTACTGCATACATTTTATTCTCTACAGCTTTCCCTATCTTAGTAGTTAAGCAGTGTAGAGCTGTATCAGTAGATTTCCCCGTTTGATACGCATGTTGGTTTTCATGTAAAGGGTTCTCCTTAAGAGGCCCCTCCTTGATGTACCTATCAATAAGTTTCTCCATAGTCTTAAGAAGAAAAGAAGTAAGACTTATTGGTCTGTAGGATTTTGCTTCATAATAGTTAGTGCGGTTAGGTTTGGGTATAAACACTACCCTAACCTTACGCCAGCTTTCTGGTTGATAACCATAGGCAAGGCATGCCCTAAATATTTTGCAGAGATGGGGGACGATTATCTCTAACCCTTCTTGCAGAAGTGCAGGGAAAATTTCGTCACAGCCTGCAGCTTTAAAACTGCCAAAGGCTTTTATTGCCCATCTTATTCCACTTGGGGTTATCACTTTCCTGGTTAGTCTCCAATCAGCACAGGTCACACGTTTGTCCTGTGCATCATGTTCCTGTTCTCTGTTGTTAATTGTAGAGTCAGGAAAATGTGTATTCATCAAATGTGATAATGTTTCATTATCATTATTGGTGAACATTCCGTCTGGCAGTAGTATTGCCTCGACAGTTTTGTTTGGTTTATTCCTAAGTGATCGTAGTAGTCTAGTTGCTATAGGGAGTTGTTGTATATCCCCACAGAACTTCTTCCAGCTTTCTCTTTTGGACTTTTTCAATG